TTTGATAAGACAAACATATTTTCAATTATGTAAATAGCAATAAAAAAGGCAAAATACTATGAAATGGAATTGTGTATCAGATCTTCTTTGATCATTTCAAATTAGTTCATGCAGTCTTGGTTTGCAAGTAGATTTTTAATTGTAATTTATTCTTGTGAATAAAATCACTAATTCTTATGGAATCTGGAGGCAGCATGATATCTGGAAAGAATACTGGATTTAGTTAACTTCAAAGAATCCTGGGTTCCAATCTTAATTTAATCATAATACCCTCTAGATCTTTTGAGGGTTTTTTTCTTCATCTATAAAGTGAGGGCCATTAACCACATAATCCAAAGGGACCCTCAGACTCTAAGCATCTATGTTTAATTTGCCTCTGTTTATAAGTAGTTTGTGCAAAGGTTAAAATTAAAATCAAGTTTAAATTCACATTAGTAAGTTTTAAGCTAAATTAATATTTCTTCCATCATTGCAGTTTTCTTCCTTTATGACTTGTATGTGGTAAGAGCTCCATATCACAAAACCTTCCCCTCAAAAGGGCTTGTTGTGCTCTTTGAGAGTGAGGTGACTGTGAACCAAGGAGGATTCAGATAAATGGCTCAATTCCAATATTGCAATACTAGGTGGCTATAAAAAATAACCTTGAAAAATCTGTGCCTCAGCAGTGCCTCAGTTGTAAGTTATGCTGAGAGAGCAGTTGTGAACTCTGTTCTCCAAAGGGGCTTGCAAGCTGTTGGTAAGGCACACAGGGCACTGTCTAAAAGAGAAACCCATGGGAGACCCATCATTGTTAGTCAGTACAGTCAACAGGAGCAACTGATGGTGCTGATAGAAAGTGATCAAAGCCACTGTTGGGAACCATTGACCGGAACTTCTCTGGGGAACTCCCTTTAATCAGGATTTTTAGAATGAGTGTTGTACTGGGGAAACCCTGACAAAGTCTCTGGTCTGCACCACCATTCAAATGCATCCCTTTTGTGTGGAAAGTATTTTTCGGAGAAAAGCAACTCTATTTGATTTCTAACATAGAGGTGGTGACCATATTTTCTACTAAATGAACTCACATCACTGATGTTTAGCTGATTGGATCAGGGCTTGACCATTAACTGAATGAGACGTGACAAAAAGGACTCTTGGGTTTACATGGCAGCTTAAAATTTAGTCACTTCCAAAAAGAGATATTATTATTTGGCCAAATCAATCTAACCACGTCTTTGTAATTTGAACTAGAGCTATAGGAAAACATCAACATGTAAGTAGCAGAAACTGAAGCTAAGAAAATCTAACTGATGTTAGAAGTGAGAAGAAGCTATAGTTACAGATAAATTCTAACTTAGAATATGCCATGAAGTCAGAGAAATTTTTTTTTTTTAAGATTTATTTTTATTTATACAACAGCTGGGGTACAGGCCAGAGTCGCCGGAGGCTAAGAAGATCCACCAGAGACAGAGTGGGGAGCAGAACAGGCAGACAAATGAAGGCACTGCTGAGGGGAGCAGCGGGCAAGACAAGTGGTCTGTCTCAACATGTGGGATTCTCCCTGGCCAGCCGGGAATTGAACCAGCACTGTGAAGGCTGTGGTCAGCTTCCAGTGCCGCGCTCAACCTGCTGTGCCACCGCCACCAGGCAGGCCCATGTCAGAGAAATATTAACAGAATAAAAGGTACTTAATAGGTAGGTTCAGAAGAAAAGATAGAAATCATCTGAGAGGTTACATTGAGAAAGAATCATTAGTGATAGCAGTTGAGGGGACAATGTGGCAATGCAGCCACTAGTTCAACATTGGATTTTCCTACTACCTTTAAGTAGGTATTCTGATCTCATGATCAGAATGATCATGATCACATGATCACATGGCTGAGGTTTCTATTTCTGCATTACTCTATTACTTATTCTCATGAACTTCCTTGAAACAAATTCCCTGTTAATTGAGGTAAACACTACGATGTATGCTGCATGATTGTAAACTGACCTCATTAACTGAGATAGAGATTTGTGTTTAGGAACTCTTCAGGGGAGTTCCCTTAGGATCAACATCTGCTGGGGAGTGAAGAAAGTAGCATTGGGGAAAAGCAGGAGTTGATAAGTGATGCATCCCTAAAAAGGTCTCATAGGATCCCACAGAGAGCTGGGGATCTGTGACAATTCAAGCTTTTCTGCCCTGGTAGTATTTAGGACAATGGGATGTTAGTTAACACCCCCCACAGCCACAAGTCATTTGATGTGTGCTGACAGCTGGAGGGTAAATTACCTGGGTATTGTGTGGTAAATCTTTTTAGCTGAGGCCAATTTCCAGACAGTTACTTGAAGAACAAACTTCCTATCATCTGTCCATACTCCCATCACCTGGAGAAATGGATGTCACAGTCCTAAGATGTTTCTGATCTGCTATATTAATTATTTACTGCTGATTAACAAACTTCCTCAAAATTCAGTGACTTAAAACAATGACAACATATGTTTTCTCACAAATTTGGAATTTGTACTGGAGTCAGCATGAATAACTCTTCTTTTCCACTCTGTCAGTTGCAATAGCTTGAAACCTGGGGGCTGAATTTATCTAAAAACTTGCTTATCACACGTATCAGGCAAGAGCTGAGCTTGGATTTTTAGCCCCTCTATGAGGTCTGGGCTTCCACACAACTTGATGGCAGTTTCACTTGCTTTGTGTTCTAATTTGTGAGTGAATGACAAAATGTTGTCCAGGTTTAAAAGATATGAAAACAGATTGCCACTTGTGGAGGAGCGAGCTATTATTGTGCAGGCAATACCTCACTGTTAAAGAAACAAGGAGTCATGGAGCAAGCTGTTATGGCAGGATGCTGTCGAGAAGGCAAAACCTAGTCATTTTATTGATTGAGTAATTTTAGAGTCAGTAACTCAGGGCAGGTGAACATAGAGAAAAATCTTAGAAGGAAGTGAATGTATGCTTAGGTTATCTAGGCTTTTCAGGGAGATGAGTCTAAGGATCCAGATTAGTTTTATGGCCCATTTTTATGGCCCATGTTTGAAGATCGAAATCAAGCTTCTGACCCCTACTCCTGGTCCCGAGCTTATTAACAAGGCATTCTGCTGATTGGTCTCTGGGACACAAAGTTACATATCAGTCAATGGCTCCGTAGGCGTTGCTGGGCATGGCTCCTGACCTATACTCATTGTCCCAGGGAATTAAGCATCCTGCTCTTGTTTAACTTGAGTGGAACCTTTGTAAGGTCAGTGGTTTGCATTCTTTTAAGTTTAGGTAATTGATTGACTGGGCCAGATGGACTTTGTACTGAAAAGGCCAAAGCTGAATAGCCATAATAGTGGCATAAGCAACCCTTTAAGCCTAGCAGACCCACAAGCTATGACCAGAAATATTGCTGTGACATTTTTGGACCATATTATCTGCTGTAGTGACATACTACATAATCTGCTATATAAGGAAGTAGAAAGCATATATAAATATTTTGTTAGGAAAAAATTAACATCTGGCTAATATTTTATTTACTCCAATATTTAAGGGTAAAAATTTTAAGTTATAAGTTTACAATTTAAAATTGAGTCATTTATTTACAAATGATTTTAAGTTGAAATGTTACATTTCTTTAACAAACTAGAATTTTCAAGAAAATATAAAGTTTACTATATTTTTAGGCTTAATTTTTAGATTGGTAAACTCATTTTAATATTAGGGAAGATCTGGCTTATGAAACAACCTAAACTATTTAACAATAAAAAGGAATATACAAGTTTATAATACCATTTAAAATATCAGAAGAGACGAACATATATAGATACATCCGAATCGATATGTATATGTGTATATATACACATATGGCTATATGTATTTATATGTAAGTAAAATCAGATATGATTGAAAGACTTCTTAAAAATGTGTGTATTATAATCTGTATAAACACAAATATGATATTAAAATTTGCACACTAAACTTAAAGATTAGGTGAAAAGTGGAGTTTTGAATGTGTGACTCAAATTGCATTATAGCTCATAGTTCCCAAAATGAAATTCTGAATACATTGTCTATTGTATGAGCAAAACCCAACTTTGCATAATGTTCTTTCTTCCTACCAAAAAATCTTGTCATATCGAAGATATGTTGGTTGTAACCCTTAGATCCTTGCTTATGTGTTTTGACTTGGGGAATAGATTCATAGAAATTTATATCAGCACAGATGGACTTTATATCAGCACAGATGGACTTTATATCAGCACAGTATGTGCAATGCAATATGCTTAGGACAGTGGTACAAAGGCTACCCCTTTGATCCCATAATCATCCGCCAAACCTTTTTAGGAGCCAAAAGTGTGATACAGTCAAAAGCAGAGTTGTTTTGTTTAGCGGCTTGGGATAGAGCTGCGGTTGATTTTGGATTTAGTCCTAATCAATATGCTTTCACCTCCTCTTTATAGCATTCTGAAAACCATTGTTTGGTTTAACAGATAAAGAAATCCAATTTTAAGATCAAGGTGTCAGTAGCATCTTACTGTTAAAGGGTGGTCCCCAGGAAAAGGGGAGGGTAGCGGCAGGAAGGCCCAGTGCAGGATCTCTATGACTCTATGCAGACGGGGCAAAGGAAAGTCCTGGAGCCCTCTGTGGCTTTTTAGGCTTTTACTGTGTGTTCACCAGGTAGACAGAAGGCAGGGTGCTGGGGGGCCAGGAGGCTGGTAGGCCTCCTAGCCCCCGCGAATCTTCACTCCTTCCAGACCCTCTGGCATTCTCTGCTTGTTCTCTTCCCTTTTGTTCCCTTCTGGTTTTGCTGTTCTTTGGCTCCTTCTCGCTCTCTCTTTTGCTCTTTTCGCTCTGCTCGCGTCCCCGTGACACCACCCTTATAAGCCCAGGCTCAGCCCAGGTGAATCCACCTATGCATGCCCACATCCTACTCCAGGTGCCCCCCATCAGGCATGCATTCAGGACCACAGGATCCATCATCAACCCCAGTGGCGGGAGGACAGAAAAGCCTGACCTCATTTGCTTACCCTACAGGGAGGTTTCCAGGTTTCCTGCCCCACCCAAGAGGAGGGGGAACAGAGCAGGGAGAGAAGAAGCTGCAGAGGAGACTGAGGAAAGAAGGAAGCAGGATGGAGAGCCAGAAGGAGACCTGGAGGAGGCACGTGGAGCCGAGAGACACGTGAAGTGGCTGCGCTTGCCTTTTGGTCGTGGACTGGATGAAACAGTTGTAGGTGAGAGACCATCGGGAGGATAACAATGGCAGCTTTTATCTTGATTTTGCTTTTGCTTTTTCCTCCCAGACTTGTCTGATTGTTTCTGATCCTTTTCTGTGGGTCCCCACTGGAAGGTGCTATACCAATGGCTGCAGAGAGTCTCTTATGACCAGATAATAGACAAGGAAAAAAGTTCATGTTTAATTTGGGAATGGACTGCTGTTCCACTCAGGACTGACCTTGAAAGACAGTGGTAAGGGGAACTCCTCCTAATGGCAGAGTTTTGGGGATGATGCTTTGTATGGAAAGTGATCTATTGATAGATGAGAATATATAAAAGGCCGCAAGCTGTGATGATTATCTTGGCTGGTTGTTTCAGAATTTGGAAAGAGGGAGACTAGGGGCAAGGGAATCTGTGGGGAAGATATGTAGATAAACCTATGAAAGTAGAAATAAAGTGTGAAGATGTTTCCAGAAAAGTTGAGTGATTTGTATATACTTCGTATCTCCATTTCCTCACCTCCCATGTTCCCTTACCTATTTAATCACTTGGACTTTCAACCTCACCAATTAACTGTCAAGGTCACCAGTGATTCCGCTCTTATAAAATCTAAGGTTTATTCTTAGCATTTAGTTACTTGAGTTCAATAACATTTGACATTAATGGTCTCTGCTCTTGAAATAAGTTTTCTGCACATGTTTTCTAGGGAGAGTGAACTCTCTTGGTTTTCCTTGAATTCTATAAAATGTTAGCTTTTAGTTACTTTTTCAGGCATTCCGTCTGCTTTCTGTCTTTTAGATGTTTAAGTGTCCCAATGGTAAGTCTTTTACTCTCTTAATTATGTGTGTTCCCTCATTAGTTGACACTGCATATAATCCTATGACTTTAGTTGCCTTCTCTAACCAAACTGCCTATATGCCATGTGCACTTTAAAGAATAATGCATATGCCTAACTTAAAATGTCTCAGCCAATACTGTGGACTTCCCTCTGGAAATCTGCTTTTCCATGGAGTCATCTTTGAGTTCTCTCCATCATATCACATCTTCTCCTTTAGCATCAGATATTATACCTACATTCAAAGTACAGCATAAGTTTGACGTATTCTGATAATTTTAGGCAACTTCCTTGGAGTAAGCCTACTAAATTATGCTAAAAGCTAACTTATCAACATCTCACACATCTATACTTGATTTGTTATAGTACGGTCTCACTAAGTCATTCTTGTGACCTTTTTTTAAAAATGGAAATAAAGTCATGTCATAGCTTAAAACCCATGATTATTTCCATTCCATTCAGAAAAAAAATCAAAAGTCCTTATCATAGGCAAAAAGGACCTACCAGATTTAACCTTTGCCTGTGTCTCTGACCCCTTCTCCAGTCTTCTTATTCCTTTTTGGCCAATTAACACTTACACCACGACTGAAATCTACTGTTTTCATTCCTACTTCAAAGAAATTGTCCTTGCTATTCTCTTTTGCAGAAATCCTCCCTCTCCAAATCTTTATGTTGCTCTCTTACTATATTCCAGTCACTGATCAGATACCACCTTCTTAAAGATTTTTGCCTGAGCAAATTATTCAAAATACAGACCTTTCCATCTTTCCCTTAGCTTCAACTATTTTTCTCAAAGCACTTAACCATTATCTTTGCATTTGTTTATTTTCTTTCTTTCCCTACAGAATGTAAACACACGAAAGTAGACACCAATTATTTGGTTTACTGTTAATCCTCATTCAGTACCAAGAACTGTGCCTGAAATACTGAACATTTTAGTAAATATTTGAATAAAGAATCAGTTATATAATACAACATCTCACCAACCTTGGAAGATATGACATAAATAATACGTAAGCCACCTGACAGATAAGGAACAAGCATGTGGAAGGTTAAGTAATATAGTGAAAACCATGTGTCCCTATACAATGGTTAAATGGGGAATTTCTTTTGACTTTAGCACCAAGAGAAACAAGCCTGTTTGGGGAATATAATAAAAGTGAGTTTTTCAAAAGTTTATGCAGCAGCCTCTGCCGCTGAACGCCATTGAACTTACTGGAAAGAGGGAGGCTTTCACTCAGACACATCAGAGTGAGTAAGACCCCCTTCCCCTGTGCGCTGGACTGGATAGTCAATGACGGGTAAGATCGGGGTCAGACTAAAGAAGGGACTGGCCAGCCTCATGTCTGTGACTCCTGACGACCTAAGACAGGCGCAGTCCCTGAGGGGCTTCATCATGATAAACTTTGGCGTTCAGATCAAACAAGGTCTACATGCCTATAAGCCTAATTTAGGCAACAAGCCCCCAGTAAATAACCCCTCCTTTGATGGAAACAAGGCTGCTAAGAACGTCACCTGCAAACAAGCCTGATGGAATTACCTACAAAGCAGTTTAACCATCATTCAGATAGTCATTGTTTCAGAATAAGTAGCAACCTAGCAACCTGTCTATAATCATACTACTTTTTCGCTTACTTTGCTTTTTCTTTATATGTGTACAATCAGTTTCAGGAAATGCATGATAAAGAAAATAGTGTGTGGCAATAGTAGTTTTATAATAATCACAATACTTTTCACATGAGACAACACCATAAAAATCAAAATGCTTACATAGAATATATTGCTCGTGATCACTAAAAGTAGAAGGTGCCAGTAGGTAAATATCAATGTTTTTGATCATTGTGGTTTTGGGATATGAATCAAGAAAAGCTAGCTTAAAGAATGCTGTTCTGTGTAAACAAAACTGATTGTGTAGATTCAGTACTTTGAGATTGTTTGCTGTGCCATGCCATGGAACATCGATCACATGAACATGAATAACAAAGTAGATGTCTTATGCCTTACAAAGTATTTTATGCTGAGAAAGAATTAAATTGTATGAAATCATCTATTGTTAGAAAAGGTATAAAAGTCTATGATGATTTTGAGCACATTACATTCAGATCTTCACTCTTGAAGTGTGTCTGTCTGTCATTTATGCGCCAATTCATTGAGCATCCTCACAGTTCCTCAATCTTGAGACAGTCCTGCTAGTCTACCGCTGCGCTGGTCCGCGGCAAGTTTATGCTACTTTCTTAAAGTTTGTTTTTAGGAACCTGTTTCCATTTAAATCACTGCATTTTTCCTTTTCATTTGATCCTTATGCTTTGTTTATCTTATTTCACATTTTCATAGTTTATCAATTTGAAACAGTTTTACCTCATTCTGCGTGTAGTCGAAATGTGCTTTAACACTTGAAATTCAAGTGAGTAAATTTGGCAAATTAGGTCAGCTCCAACCCAAAATAACCAAGAATGAATAAACTATAAAGAACATATTTGTTGCAGTTTTATGTAAGAGAGTTAACAAGGTAAAATGATTTCTAACAATCTTCCAGAGACTTTAGAGATCTATCGGGGAAAGAACTCAGGAAAAAAAGACCAAATAATAGATGAGGGTGTACGTATTATTAATAATTCCACTAAAAAGGCTGATATATTGAGCTCATTTTAAAAATCTCTCTTTAACAAGAAAAATGAAGAAGGTAACGTGAGCAATTAGCTACTGACATGACCACTGCACATCTAGGTAATGATCAAAAGCGTGTGGGTGGTATGACCAGGCGAACCTTGTGAAAGAGGACGCTCTCTCTCACATGAGGCACGGCGTCTGGCATTATTAACTATTTAACATTCATGGGGAATGCAGGTAAATTATTAATTTGTTTTAAGATTTTTATATTTAGTTTCCACTTAGTTGATTGATTTTACAGCACTCTAATAGGTTTTAAGTTTACTATGAAATAGTTTAATTAAATATGAAAAATATCTGTGAATAGGTTTTTTAAAGAAGTAAATCATGTAGAATCAGCAGTGAAAATATACTGTCAAACTTTTCTTTGCCTGGGAAAGAATCTTTTCTAGGAAAAACTAGTTTCCCAGAGATACTTAAAAGCAAAAATGAATCCATAGGCACATTTAATTATCATACTACCTGGTATTATCTTTTATGTCAACATGATATTACATGATGTCACCTTATACTATATTGTATTGTATTAGACATTTGTTTTTTATTTGTCTTTATATCTCAATGAAGGATGCATATTCTCTGTGTCCCCTCTTTTTATGATTAAATGTCTGGAATATAATAATCCTCCATAAATATCTGATAAATAAATGGAAAATTGTCAGACAGTATGATGAAAGAATTGTTTACAATAATTTCTTATTACAATGTTTCATGATTCTCCATAGTTCTCACATATCTTTGTCTTATAAGCAGACATACCAATAATCTTAATGAGGAAGCTTATACACAGAGCTATCTTGCAAGATAGAGATATTGAAGAAAATGACAAGTTTGTTTACTACCCAACATATATAATGTCTCACTCAAAGGCAAAAATCAGGCAAGTTTGTTTATTTCCCATTTTAGATTAGGTTTGCTAAACTCAGGGGCTCTTTTCTGTCACCCACTATGTGTGTCCTTTGTCTCTGATATAGGCTTTTGCCAGTGCCTGCAAAATTGTGGCAGGTCAACTTATTCCTTGCAAGTAGAGTGAAAACTTAGATCCTTACAGTTTTTGACAATTCTATTTTCAGACTTTTAAAAAAGCTTTTTATGTAGCATTGTATTGATGAACAAAGATACACAGTAAGAAACATCCAGATGTAAAAAAAAACTGTAATTCTGAAAATAAAACAAAACCCCTAGACTAAGGTGGGAAGAGAAATGTATAGGTTGTCCTGGAATGAATAAAAGAAGACCATTGGAAAGACTCACCTGAAAATTGGATAAATGTTTTTAAAGCAAGAAATATTTGTATTTTATTTTTATAATAAAAAAGATTGAAGAAGATAGTAACTAGCATTATCATTATAGAGATATTTGGAAGATGACTCTGAGGACCCTGATCTTAAACTGCACTGAACAGAAGTAACCTCACCTTCCAGTCTGAAAAGGTTAGTTTATCTTGTTTCACAATTCATTAATAACTTCACTGTGTGATACTACTAGTTATCCTGAAGCTCTACCATAACTGTACCCCACCACCTCCCATCTTCTAGCCAGATATCCGGGGAATATTTATGTGAATTCTTCGTTGGAGGAAACAATAGATATTTAGATTAGGCAAAATTTATCAATATGGGATAGCTACCTAAGTTTTCAAATTGAGTATGCTGACTGATTTAGCTACAAGTGAATCCTTAATCCATTAACTTAAAGTAGTGGTCTATGCTGAATGAAATGAATTCTTCTTAAATTATGCACAAGCAGAAAACCAAATACATAGGGAAGTAGGGGTGTTGGAATATATGTATCATGTACACTCCACTCACTCACCCCCTATCTTCACTTCCCTTATTTTAATGGTAATTGTGAAATCCTCATGGTGGTATTTTATTTTATTATTATATTATCAATGATGGAGAGTTTCTATCTAAGACATAATGTGGGAACAGGAATGAAAAATATTTTATCCACAAGGTTCTTCACTAGTGGCTAATGGATCATAGCCTCTCTAAAATCGAAATAGATGAAAAGTACACTATGGCATTACTTGGTCCATAGTGAATGTGACTTTATGTCTAAGTGAGTTTGTAACACCATTCTGTGGTTACTTCTACACTTCTGAGTGTAAGATTCAAATGGTTACAGTTAGAAATAGGAAGAACCACAGTCTGACTTTGTGATCTATGGTATCAGAACCATCATCACTGGAAGTAGAAGCTATTAGAGCTTCTTCTGTATGCTGAAATAGTAATCCAAAAACAACAGAATCCTGGGACAAATCAGAAAAATTAGTACTGCTCTCAAAGTCTTGAATACAGGGTGGTAATTTCTATCATTTTAGTTAATTTATCTGGCTAAATCATAGAGAATGACAATTAGATTTTTGTAAACTAAATCAGATGTCAATTTCAAATGTAGCAACTCTTTCAGATATTGATTCTTTAGCAAAAGAAAAATTACTGTTACCCATTCCCATTGGTGTGCAGCTAGTAATTTTGACAGATAATGCATCTTTCTCTTCATCAATAAACGCAGATCATCAGAAGCATTTTGCATGTACCTGATGGACACTAAAGTACATTTTCCCTATGTTATTGCAAGACTATGCAAGCTCTATAACTCTCTTCCATAAGTTAGTACACAGATGCCAAGACCTTCTAAGCTTACAGCAAGGCATTATGTTGCTGTTGCCTTTCAGTCACCATGGACATCCTCCAAACTCAGGCAGAAACCCTGATCCATAAGAAAGAATAAGAGTAATAAGAAATATGTGAGTATACATTAAAAAACTTTTTTCTTAATTTCCTTTAATGTGGAAAAGGATATTGACTAAGTAAAATATTAACAAGTATGGTGGGATTTATAACTTATGGAGAAATAATTACAGGACAACAAGCAAAAATGGCATGGGGTAGTATTAAGTTTTCTTATACTATATGTGAATTAGTATAAAATTAGTTGAAACTAAGTGGTAATAAATTAAGGATGTGCATTATTACCCCCAGAAACTAAAAACAATAAAATATAGACATTGCTAAAATTCAAAATTAGACATAAATGAAATATTAAAACATCCTCCATTAATTATAAAAGGAAAACAAAAATAGTCAGGGAAAATAGTAAACAAAGAGCAAGACAAAAACAATGTTAGGTATAAAATGAAAAAAAAAATTCCAAAAATATTCCAAAAAAATATTCAAGTTGGAAAACTTGACACACCATTCTTATCAATTTATAGAATATGGAGGGGGACAAGTCACTAAGGGTATAGACTTGAACAAATGTATCTACAAACTTGACCAAATGATATTTGGAGAACACTACACATAACTTCAAAATGAATATTTTTTTCAAGTGTATGCTGAATAACCACCAAGATATATCATCTTCTAGCCACAAGTCTAAATAAATTTCAAAGAACTGAAAGCAAAAACAAAAGGAGGCAGAAGAAATGAGTGCCACTACTTATCATTTGTTCACTCTTGTTACCCTTTTGATATCACTGGACTCATTTCAGTGGTTCTTTTGCTCATCACTGTCTCTCATCCAGAGAAAAGTCACCTGCATATCTTTTCGGTATATATTCGGTGATTGTAATGGTGTCATGATAGCAATCAGTAACAATAAGATATCTGAAAATGCACTGAATACTTGGAAATTAAGCTGCATACATCTAAATATTAAAAAATTTAAATCACTTCAAAAAATAGAAGGTAATTTAATAAATGAAAATAAAGAACACAATACATTAAAATGTATGGAAGGAGCTAAAGCAGCACTGTGGGAACTTTGTAACTTTAAATATGTATTGAAAAGAATAAAGATTTGAAATCAGTGATCTAATATCCCAAATAGTTGATCTTATTTGAATAGGCATTGCAATTTCTCTGCAAGGAATTAGGATTATGTGATAAAATTATAATGTTCCCTCAAGAAAAGGTTTTGTTCTGCAACATATATAATTCCATATTCACAGTCAAGAATGTCACTTTCTGACAAGTAGGTCATGGATATTGGCAAACCTGGGAATCTGAGAAAGGATTGGTCATAGGTTTTATAGGTTATGGATTTTATAAACAAAACACATTAGATATAATTTTGATTATTCTTGCTTCCTAATACAGATAAACTTATAAAGACAGCAAAATATTTTTAACATATAAAAGTAAATTATAATTCTAAAGCTTTTACAAAATTCGTGATTTTGTAAAATTAATTCATAAGCCTTAGAATCCTTTGGTCCCATTTTTAAAGACAAACAATAAGGAGGTCTGTGTTTATTAATAAATACCTGTTTTAACTCCCATAAATTGATCAAATATTGATGAAGGAAAATGGGAAATTATTGATATTAATTCTTTGAAAGTGTGTATGGTCAAATCCACATCTTGGGGACAGAGATCTGTCCACAATGGAGCTTTGGAAGTAAAACTAACACTCAGTCCTGCTGCAATATATACAGATACACATAATACATCCTTTAGTCAGAAAAAAAAAATCAGCATTTTGCTCCTTTAGATAACAAAATGTAGAAGGGTCACCCTTTTCAATTCTAATCCCTAAAGTAAATGACCCATAAGTATTTCTTATATATTACTATTACCATAATGAAAACATTATCACTGACTGTTGTTAGAGGATGTCATTACATTTCTGTATACATGATAATGAGAAAATATGATTCTTTTTGTACCATGAATAAACTAAGGTAAAGTAACTAAGGTAAACTTGCTAACCTTGCTTTTTCTGTTTTTAATGGCTTTATATGCCTTGTTTTGTGGGTTTTTTTTTTAATTTGGCAAAATGAACTTTCTCAAATCTGTATAAACCAACTAGTTTTCTTTTCAACTTGATGTTGTCTCTAAATCTTTCCTTCACAAAAGTGAAGTATTCATATCACTACCAGTGGTATAGTTCACTTCAAAACACTAAAAGGAGAAAACACTTGAAAGGTAGTTCTGATTCATGTACAATAGAAATAATGGGTCAAAGTAGATATACTCATAGAATAGCTGGTATCTCTTAATACCAGTTGTTGAACAGATTGCTTTCAATAAAAAAAATACTGTGTCAAAAAGCAAAAAGCCAGTTTTAACAATCATTATGACTGTACTTCAATCAACAATTATATATTACATGGTGACCATAACATAGCTATCATCATAATATATTCAATTAAATGATAATGTAGTTGACTTTATTCTTTGTCAATGAAATTCATACTTGAATCACATATTCTCATTACTGTAGTTTTTGGAACTAAATGGATTTTAAAGATGAATGCATGATTGAGCAGGATATGTCAAACACCCACAAAATCTGCAATGAGGGCCTCCCTGGTGGCGCAGTGAGTGAGCACTGGGTTGCAAAGCTGCCCGCGGCCTCTGCGGCGCCGATTCGATCCCCGGCTGCTCCCCGGACACCAGAGGAGGGTCCCACATGGCGCGCAGACCTCTCCTGCAGCCCGCTGCTCCCCTCAGCAGTGTACTTCGCTCCTTCTGCCTGCCCTGCTCCCCGCTCTGGCTCTGGTGAATTCTCTCACCCTCCCGCGCTTCTAACTGTACCCATCGCATGTATAAACAAAACAAATAAATAAATAAAATATGCCTCTATTAAAAAAAAAATCTGCAATGAATTCAGTCATTAGGAGTCAGACAATACTAAAAGACTCCTGAAGAAATTCATTCTGTACCAAACAAAACCAGGACATTGTAGAACATTATGAAAACCAAAAGCCATAAATTCAAATCATTTAACCAAAGGAGAACGTGTTTTTACTATTAAATAGTATTGCTGAAGGGTTTTGAAACACAGCACAATCATCCTGATTGATATGGTCTGTTAGAAATAAAAATGTGCCAATTAAAAATATTAATTCTAATTGGAGGCTCAGAAAAACTCATAGTTCTTCAATAATCTCATTATTGTTACATTAAATATTTTATTTTGGAGAAAGTACATTTAAAAATTTCCAACTTTTTATAAAGTATATAGCAATGCGTAGAAGCAAAAAGGAAGATCTAATCCTCCCGAAAAGTAATTGAAACCAACAGTAGCTGTCTGGGCAGAGGAGTAAGATTATCTAATTAGCTCACTCATGTATCTACCATCACCCTTCTCTTGACTTCTGGTGGCGGGATCTGACCTACGCTAGTGTCAGGGTCTATGTGTAATTTTTAGGTGTCATTGAATCTAAATCTTAGTGAAAATCATAGTGCTAGTGAAGAAATGAGTCCTTTCTTCAATTCTGAGCAACATACTGAAAAAAACATCATAAGAGTTTAAAAAGAGAGTTTTTTCCTTTTGCTAGAGTAAGGTGTTTTTTCCTTTCTTCTAACCAAACTGACAATGACATAAAATTTTCTAATGTGAAAGATTTCTCTTTCATTTGTAGCCAGCTTACTTGATCCAGGGGTTAAGAATAGCTTCGTCTAATGGTGTCAATCTGGGAAAAGAGAAAGATTTTCTCAGAGGAAGTAGCTAGTCAGTTGCTGTGTGGGCAAAGTATAATGTAAAGAGAGTGGGATCATCCAGAACCCTCCTCCTCTGTCTCCTGCTCCTTCCACCAAGTCCAGCTGCTTTTTCCTCAAACTGTGACTTGAGAGTAAGAAAAAAAATAAATGGACCTGGCAGAATGTGACAAAAGCTCCATGGAAAAGTGCCTTTACTACAACATCGACTCTGTAGCTCACAGCTAATTAATCCCACAATAGAATATGAGTTGGCTGGTTGTATTTTGAATGTCCTCACGTGGCCTTTCTTGACGGGACTTGCCACCAAGGGTTTTAAGCTTTCACCCTATTTAATATTCATGTCTAAAGAAGCAAGGTACCTTGGGATATTAAGAATTTTTTAAAAATCGGTCCTTTAGGTTTATATTATAATGGAAAATTCAACGGCTATAGCTGCTGGAGACAAAAGGTGAATAATTCACATTCTGGAAGTAAATTGTCAACTATATGCTGAATAGGAAAACTCATAATTATTGGACAATGAAGTGACAGTTTTTACAACTGTGCGGTATTTTAGTGAATGGTACCCATGAGAAGTTAGTATCCCACATGATATGATTCCTGAGAGCAAAGTTCTTTGCAGCAGGAACAACATTTCAATGAGAAATATGCTTTGGGTGGAGAGAATAGAATCATATTTCAAATATATATATTTAAATTTATGGTACTCTACTTACTGAGGCAACAACTCTGTGTGTAACTCATTGCCTCTTAGTCATTCAGCCCTTTGACATATAATTGACTTGAACCATATTTAAATAAGAGGAAGCATATTCAAAATTTACTAGACATTCTCCTCACTAAAATTACACATTCCTGTCAATACTCCCTATTCTCATGGCAGATGTATACAGCATGAAATGGATACAAGTGAAGACAAATATTCTTCAGCAACTGTTGAGTTCATAATGTGCCCCATCACTGTGCTTCACTAGGGAGACCATTGTGGAAAAACTCGCAAGTGGTGCTGGGTAAGAACCACTACAATTAGAAATGAGAATGACAATGTAGTGAGAATGAAAACTCTTGGTTTAGGGAGAAAAAAAATAGATAACTTTTCCATTATTTTCCTGTAGCATTTTCTTGTCTTTTTCTCTTTTTTTACCATATCTTTATTTTCATCCTATAAATTTCTTCCCCTTAATGATATGCACTTGTTCACACCCATCAACTTTTGTATGGTGTTCCAGGTTATTATATTTGATTCTCATAATAAGTCAAATATTATTCCTTTCTAAAATTTACTGTAAG